CTTGTCACGCCCCTCCAATGCACGTCGGTTCATCATCTCTGATTCGTCGTACTTTCCTTGGATTTCTAGCAACCTAGCCCGGATGTTGACACTTGTTAAGGTGCTGGGGTGGTCTGGTCCAAGAACTTTCTCATACCCCTCCAATGCGCGCCGATTCATGGCCTCTGATTCATCGTACTTTCCTTGGTATCGTAGCGCCAGAGCTAGGTTAATGGTATTGGTTAGAGTGTCTTGGTGGTCAGGTCCAAGAATCCCCTTGCGCACCTCGAGTGCGTGCCGATTCATGGTCTCTGATTCATCGTACTTTCCAAGATCACTCATCACACTTGCTAGGTATGATAAGCACTCCAAGGTGTCAGAATCGTTGGGACCTAGTAACCCCCGAAGATCCTCTAGCACATTCCGTAGTATCTCCTCTGCCTCCTTTGCCCTGCCTTGGTGCGCGGTCACCCACCCCAGGAGCATAAATCTCGTGTGACCTCTATCCCAGCCTTGCTCTTTATTCTCCTCGCGAAATCTGATACATCGACGGATCTGTGTTTCTGCATTGTTGTAGGAACCCAAATGTAGAAAGTACTCTGCCATCCGAAAACAAAGATTTTCTGTAATAATACCCGTTCTACCTTTGGTTACCGCAAGTGCATGTGAGATATATACCTCGCAAATATCCCGCAGCTCATGCTGATATTCAGGGAACATTCGGGAAACTAGCCCTAGTGCCGTGGAACTCCATTGATTCAACTCTTCTCGTGACAAATAGGCATGTATCGATAGCTGGACTAAACGATGAAGCTCATAGAAGGTCTTATCTCCACGTTCGGTGGCTGTAACCAATGAGAATCCCACTAGTTTGGCAATCGCACGACGAAATTGAATCCATCCATCCATCCCTTCAAGGCCAGACTCGCGCAGGAGCTGCTCGGGTATATTCTGACGATCCAAAAACGCGATTAGCCGCAGGAGATTCCCGGCTGTCGGCATCTGTTTGGTAATTCGATCAAATGTGATGAAGTATGTGCCCAAAATACTTTCTGTCATGTCAGACTCTCGCCGGATATCGCTAAATTCCTCTAAAAGAAGTTCCTTCATTCGTTTATCGTTCTCCTGGAAGGTTGCCCAGTACTCAGAGGGTCGTGTTTCGGTCTCCACCATGAATGCTGCTGAGCCTACGACAGCCAGCGGCAAGTAATCCACCGACCCTAGGATCATCGCAACTACCTCTTCTTCCCCATCTCTCAATCCGCCACATCTCCCAAAGTGTTTCGAAAATAATGCCTGAGCCTCCTCCACCTCCATTTTCCCGACATCAATCCTTTCGCACTCTTGGCGGAATGCAACTTGGCGAGATCTGGTGGTGAATATCAGAGTACCTCTGGGTCCTTGCGGTACGAACTTAGAGATAGGACTGTTGTTGCCAGCAAAGTCCTCCTCGTTATCGGCGTTGTCGATAACCAGAATCCAATCACCACTCTCTGGTCCCTCAAACCACCTCCTTACACGCAATAGGAATCCCTCTTCTTCCATCTCGGCGCTCGCTAGAGGAATTCGAACATGTTGAGCAATAGCCCTGATGCCCTCCCTAAACTGTAACACTCCACTTCCTTGCACCCAGAAAATATCGCTGTCGCTATCACTTGCGCGCTGATACACGTATTCGAGAGCAATTTGAGTTTTACTGAGCAATGTTAGTAAACTCTTTAGATACAAAATCAATGAATACATACCCGGAACCACCTAATCCATGCAGAGCGATCCGGTTGTGGCTATTGGGTTTGCAACGCTTCTTTAACGAGTCAGTGAGATGTTTACGGCCAGTGAATTTGCTGTTCCTGCTGTAGGGAATTATCCGATAAGGCCCAGATGCTTCTTCCAGTTCCAGTAGAACGTTAGCTTCCTACCGTAAAGCTCTCGGGAATGCCGATAATACCTCTGTCTCCGGATCTAAACACACATCCTTGAAATATTGTTCCGAGATTGGCCGCGTAATTCAGGTAACCCATACCCAGGTTATTATGGTTGTTACTACCAGAGACATTATGATCCCCTGAATTTCCGCTGAATTCCCCGCTGATATCGGCTTGGATTCTCCTGTGAATATCCTGACATGAGTGCTTCTTTTTTCCTTTAATTACACATATATTCGGGTGAGGGCGAACCCACTGATCCATCGTGTTTTTGGCTGACCCTAGGGCCTCTTTCGAAGGTCGGGGATGAAAGTAATAAGATGTCGCTAGCGTAACTGAAACGGGAAGTGTATCCTAATTGCCGCCAATCGAGGTCGTTCCGGATCGTTTAGCGAGGCCCTGAAGCAAGTCAATAACCGAGATATACTATGGTACCGTAGGACGAACAGCCACGAACGCGACCTAAGATATGGAGGTTCTTGATTCTGAAATTTTGAGCCAGCTGTGAGGTGTACTCGTAGCTAGGGCGATACTGCTTTGGTGGAGGGCGAGCGGTCGGCTGTGTAGGCGTTACAGTAGAGAGACTGCGCCTTAGGGCAGTGGAGAAGGTTGAAATTTGCTCCCCCGATGCTAGAAGCCTTCCCCGCCCTGGCTGAGAACAAGCTTGGCAAAAGCAAACACTACGGTATTCTGCGCTATGTGGGTTGCCTTACCGGTGGGTAATGTAATTGGCTTAACTTGTGATCACAGTTTGGGTTGTGGCTAGTGGCTGGTGCGTGACTTGCTACAGCATACGAGACATGATGCGACAATGACTTTAGGATAGCGAAAATTTTCCTCCATCGTACCCCAGCCGGGCATTTTAAAAAACTCCATCACCTGCTTCTTCACAGGGTATAATTTATATACCTTTGAACCTATTAACTGATGGCGATAGGATTACTGGTACCGGTAGAGTAATTGGGCCCATCCTTGAAGGAGGCGCTGGCCCATCACCCGCTTCCCTTCTCGATAACCGGGTACCCCCCTTCAGGCCAATCACTCACATGACCTCACAGGAAAATTGACCAAGCCACCGAGTTCGGGATCGGTGCATGAATCAGCGAAAGGTGGCACATTACAAGTACAGTACTTGTACAGTACTCCTTCATGGCACCAGTCATTATGCCGTGACACCTAGGAAAATTCGACCTTGCGTTAGTGCGCATTTACACTGTAGGCGAATCTTGGGGGAATCTCCAATGCAAATGGTGTGAGCGGTACTGAATGCCCCCCACGGCTGAGGCCAAGAATGGTAAGTGAGTTGCATGCTGTCATAATCAGTGTGTTGCGGGGGTGGGGTCGTCGAAAAGCAGAGCGGCTTCCCCGACTATCACAAAGTTTTCGAAATACTCTTCCTCGGCAATATTCCATTTATTCCGTGCAGCCTGCATTACCCCCGGTTGGATAGGCAGGAGGGGTGTAGATTAGGTCTGAGGTGGGCCAGCAATGGTTCCGCTTCCTATAAACCTCATAGAATTTCTTTTCAAAGCTTCAAGGAACTAGAAAGGGCGGAGCGAGAGAGCCTAAAGAAAGAACTGAAGGATGGCAATGGTGAGATAACAATTGGCTCTATGTGCAGTTTGGGGGGGATCGTAAACTCAACAATGGATAGAGAGGCTAGCCGAGGACGGACCAGATAGTAATTTACAAATTCTCCATAGTAGCTACTGGTACCGCAAACCAACATAACTCGGAGAACTCTGAAAAAATGCACCCTATTAAAAACAACATAATCCAGTGTAAGCCTCCACAATATAAACCAAAGCCCATGTGTGCCGAACAAACCAGGCAAGATACCGGGTGCCTGATGATACCTTACGGCTATGGATATCAATAGAACTCATATCATATGCCCACCCGGATAGATGGAAAAGAAACCATGACAACCATGGGTGTGAGCCTAGCCACCGCACATCATAAGCCACAGACCCTATAGCCACATGAGCTCTGCTAGCACACCGGATAGGAAAACCAGTGCTGAGGACACTCATAACCGGTTCCCCTCCATTCCACTTTACTCATAGTCAGGGAAAGTAAGTGTCCCACAAATTTTTTTCTTTTAATAGGGTGTTATCTTGTGACTTAACCCTAGAGTGTAACAAAGAGAAACACCCCCTCACATACCTTATTATATTTTAGTGTGAAATCTTATTTATTTTGTAGGATTAGTTAAAAAAAAAACAACCTCAGTAGTCTTTTTCTGCTATTATGCAGATATAATTAGTGTTTTACTTTCCACTCTTATAGGTACAGTCACAAAATACCACTCAGTTAAGAACAAAGAAATAAAGTCATGCTATACTTGCTTTCACTTCATACCTGCATTTCCTAACTATTATTGGTAGACCATCCCCAAGGATCTGAGCCATTCTCACTGACCAAAGAACCTCAGATACTCAAGATGTGGGTGTTTAGATTGTAGTACTGGCAGATGTTGATAGCCAATAGGAAATACCACATTAATCGCAGGACAGATGTTTGCTTCCCCCATTCACTATATATTATGCAAACTGGCATCTCTGTTTTGATACCATGAAGGATAGAATCATATTATGGCCAGTATATGTACACACTAGCTGTGGATCCCAGTGGTTTGGCTATTAGCCTACTAAAACTAGACTAACATGATGCAATTTACATTTCCTGTACTTGAGTAACTGTTTGAACTTGGAGAGTGGTAGGACTTTTTGCTGAAAGTTGCCAGTGGTCATTCCGTTTCCAGGGATCTCGGTCAGTAGATAAATCTGTTTCCTAGTTACTTTCTATTTGTCACTACTTTGTCAGTTTACTCTTCTCTATTAGTCCTGGATTGCTTATCAAGGAAGAGAGGTGGATATACCCTATATGAACATTATACATTGTTGTTCCTATTCGATATTGGAAATTGTTTGCAACAAGGGAAGATAAATTCCGGTATTGGGTATGGGTACAG